TAATATACTGGGTCCAGTAACGTGACTTGTCTGAAGAGCTACCTTTAAGCATGAGGTGGTTTCCTAACATGTATATTTTGTTTATTTGGGACATATGCCAAATTTGTATCACTAAATATGATGGAAATAAAAAATACACATATGCATTCGTATAAATCCATCTATCTGTCTATCTGTCTATCTACCCATTTATCTAATAAAATCTAACTTCTGTGCTTCAGTATACCAGTTTCAATTTCAATATATTTTATCTTAAGTAAAACACAAATGTAAAGCCATGCCTCATTCACAAAGAAAACAAGGTAATTTGATTTTTCACAAAATTTAATCAGCTTAAAGTTATTATTAAATCTTGAGACACCAAATCATTTTGGGTTCTTTCAAATTGAAAAAAAAAAAAAAAAACAACAAAGGCAACACAGAAAATCTCATTAACATACTTATTCTTTGTAAAGTTTCTGCATACCATGAAGATACTAACTTAATGAATAATCTCAAGTGAATATAACCAATATATTTTCATGGTGAATTTAACTAAGTAATGGTTTATGACATAACTATTTTCAGAGGTGTTCTGACAGATGATCTGTGTGTAGCCCTTATTTTCGTGTAAAGCTTACAATTAACTTGTATGTATCTGTTCTTTTATTATGGGCCAATCAAGTCCTACAAGAGTTGAAACAGGTGTGTTTGTTTTTTTGTTTTGTTTTTGTTTTGTTTTGTTTTGTTTGCTTGTTTGTTTGTTTTTTCCTTCTGATGAGTGAATCAGGAAAGGGACATTTTTACTCAATTGTCACAAAGACCTTTCCAAACTACAGCATAGCAAAACCTTAAATATACAGACACAAGGAACTATGAGAAAGTTCAGGCTAGTCAGTGCTGTCAAAGAAATTTCTTGCAAAGACAGCTTTGATTACTTGGAATAACAGTAATGCTGAGATAGAAGAATTCTTGCAAAATCCCTACTGATCCAACTTTTGTCTTTGTAGCTGAAAGTTCATTGGAGTGTAGTTTGAACTGATGGAGAGATTAGAAGTACGGAAGCATTGCTGAAATGCTGTAACTGTTATGAAACATAAACATTAGGAAATTAATTGATTTTCCCCAAATGAATTGTATATGGTGTGTAGTATTTGAGTTGGCAAGACTTAAATAGGTTGGTCATTTTAAAGTAGATCATAACCCAGTTTATTTAAATAAATTTTTAGCCTTTTCCCAGAAGGCATTTACGTTATTTACATAGCGAATGTGTTTTCCCTATTGTTTTGGACTATTTTTTGCTTGTTTGCAAAATACAAAATCATATTTCTTCATGCATAAGTGGCTGACTTATTTATTTGTGTCAATGGCTATTTTAAAACAAAATGATGAAGTAAAATAAAAAAATTAAATTAGGTAATTTGTGAGCACTTATGCATCAAAAAACATGTTTATGTTGAAAAAAAAAAAAAAAAAGTAATTTCACTATATGAAAGAATTCTTTTATATAAACACTGATTGGCATTCTTGCTGAAAATTACGTGTACATTTGTGAAATTGAAAAAGTAGATTGACCTGTGAGGAAAACACATCTTACCAAAAAATCTTCCTAGTTCAATTTTTAAGAACTGATTAAATAATTCTAATGAAAGAATATCTCTCACTAGAGGCAAAATGATTTACCTCCTTTATGTCCTAGTGCAAAAAGGCATTTAAACATGGGAAGTGGGAAGGGAGCAAATACTAACATAACCTACTAAAATAGGGTAGTTTTCAAACTATCTTGCTAGGAACAAACTAGCTTCTGCTGTTAAAGGGAGGAAGTACTATCCGATGTAATAGGAGGGATATAAAAGTTGCATTATTTCATGTAAGGAAATCATTTCCTTGACGTTTAATGGCACAAGTAAGGTTCTGAAAGTTTCCTAGTCTTCTGTTGGTATGGCATGTCATCTGGCATATATTAATTGCTCTGGAAAACACAGATCAGGGAAACATCCCAGTTTTTACGGGCTGTTGTTTTTTCATGAGTAGGGTGTTAGTGATTTCCTTGAATAGTTTTAACCAATTTGGTGTAACATTAGCTTCAATGGGGTCAGAATCTGATCTAGAAAATAAAACAAATGACACTTACATACAGGTAGCAAAAGCACAATTTTTTCTTACATATTTATCTTATTAACTTATGGGGCTTGGGTTTAGTTAGAAGAACCAAAATTCTGTTAAACAGGTGTGTGTAAAGTAGCTTTGCACTCTTCCTGGATTTAAAACTCATTGGTTCTACTCTCTGGATAAGTATAAAAGAGCTATTCACCTCTTGGTATATTCGTTTCATCTACCCATTGACATTCATGGAATTTGAACATAACAGCAAGTCAAGCTTTGGTGATGAAACACTAATGAATCTTTAAAAGGACCATTGATATAATATGATGTTGTGGGGATAGTGGACTATTTATTTTTGTTTTCTACTCATGCTAATTGATAGAATACTCTTTCAGATTTCTTAGTATCTTGAATATTTTTCCTTTCTGAATTTGGATTTTGAAGTTTATTGTTCATTTTAATTAACAAAATGTTTCAAAGTGGACATCTGGGAAATAGGAAGGGCTAGGAAAACAAAACAAAACAAAACAAAACAAACAAACAAACAAAAAAAAAAAAAACAAAACAACAGCATAGGTTTTAATATAAGTGGGCAGATTAGACAAGGAAACAAAAATCACCATGAGTCTCTCTCCCTCTACTACAAAGATGTCACCATTTTATTCAGTGTTAAGCATAATTTCACAGTGAAAGTTAATGATTTGCCTGTTCTATTTCCAAAAATTGTGATTCTCCCTGTTTTATGCTGATGTGTCTTTCATATCTTTTCCTCAAAGAGCATAATATTTTTTTGTCTGTTAAGAAAGTTCAACAGAGAGGCCCTTTTGAGATGATAATTCCATTTTTTCTTCAGTAATATGATGTATGAAGTCGTTGCCTTTTGCCAGTTTCTGATTTCCTCCTCCATAATATTTTACAGAATTCTTACTAATGTCTTGTCTGATATATTTACACTTTCTACATTTTGTTTCAGGAAAGTGAAAGGAACAAAATATGTCTCTAGTTTGGAAAGATTAAGATTCTGAAAGTAGCTTTCATAAATCATTAGAGAGGAAAAAAAGATATTATAACGGGTGTTTACATATGTAGAACATCTGCTATTTTCAGCATGCAGCTACATTAACATCAGTGAGACTGCACACATTTGATAATGGAGGCTATAAAAATATACAAAGACAAAAGCATGCATCATCAAAATTATTTGGTCAATTAAATCCCAGTGATGGATTGATTTTTCAATTGCAGCCAAGTGTCTGTCTTTGGATGTTTGGAGGAATCAAGACTGTTTTCAAAAATCAGCACCTAGGTTGTGACCAAAAATACATGACTAGTTATGAAATAACATTTATGGAAATGAAATACAAATTAAAACCAGCAAGTTTGTTCAACAAATATTCATACAAACAGGCTTTTAAGATTTTCAGGGATGTTGTGAGTAAAAATCATATAATTAGGATACAAATGAACTGCATGTTAATTTCCAGTTATATTTTCAAGACAATTAGAATAAAAAAAAAAGACAGAATAAAGTGATTGGTTACACAACTGAAAGTTTTTCATAGTTTGAACTGAAGACACTTTATCAATTCTCATTTGAGGAAACTCACTTGAGGAAACACACAACAAAACTACATAAAATAATACACACTATCGTTTCACAGTCATAAATCTATTCCTGTCTTTTCCTGCAAGCAGTCTGTTCCCACGTGTGATCATCTTTCCAAATATTAGTCAAAACAAAACAAAACAAAAGATTGTCTTTTTTTTTTTTTTTTAGTAACATACTTGTCTTTTCTTTGTTTTAAAGTTTATGTTATTCTGTCTTTCAAAAAAAATTTTTTTGAAAGTTATAATTGGATTCAAAAGTCTGAATGTGTAGATTGGTTTAATATGGTACACTTCACTCCATGGAAAATATGATTTCCAGGGAGGAAAGGTCTTCAAACTTTTTTATTTTCCTTAAATCAAAACAAGGCATCTTAAATTATGGATGAAACAAGGCAGCTCTGAAAATTACATGGAGTCTGCATAGTTTTAGGAGTCTGTGTTTAAAATTAATTCTAAAGTGTGAGGCTGTAGTTTTGGGAATTTTTAACAAAGCTCATCGAAACATTAAATGAATTCCAGCGCTGTGGTTTCTTAGTGCTACATGTGGTATATAAAATTCAAAATGTTTTGATGGTATACTCTAAAAGCTGAGAAAACTGTCTGATTGTTCTCTAAAATTTGATATCATCCCAATCAAGTACCAGCCCAGAAAATAATAATTTCTAACCCCTAAGAGGTAAGGTTTTATCCAGCAACAATGAGAGAAAATATTTTTTTCTTTAAAGATGGTGCTTAATAAAATTTAGGATATGAAATAGGGTTTATATAGCCTCTGCACTAACAGGGGATTGCTTTTATTCATGCCTGAGGTTCTGTCCATTCTCACATCCTTGTTTTCCTAATAAATCCTATTGGTATTTATTTTAATATATATATATTAAATATATATATATATATATTATATATTTTCTGTACGGTATAATATATATTAAGTATAATTTATTTAATATATTTCAGGTTAGATCATCCCAGAACACTTATTTAAATATCCAAGAATTTATATTGCAGTATACATACATTGGGACAAATTCTGTCATAGTATGTACCTACTATATACCAAGAGAGATCTTGTATGAGGAAGTGTACACCGAAGTCAATTAAATGATAGTCATTTACAGCACTTAATGTAATGTATGTATTTCCCCCTCTTTCCACACAAAACTATTACATTTCCATAAAAGTACTTGAAAACTAATTTCTGTGTGCATCAATTATTTAACTCTTATGCTCAAAATAATCACCTTGTCATCCAACTCCCTTCCACATGCTATAGGAAAATAATACCAAGTTGTCTGAATATTCCTTACCTTTAGTAACTTCTTACATAGTCACAGATTCGTTGACATGTTGGATTATACATGTATATAGCATCTATACAAGTTCCTCTACTAACACCAACAGGAGAAGGGAAATATGTGACAGTTGCAAATACGAAGTGAAATCATGCTTCTTATTTGCTTATACAAATGATCAAAGAGAGTGATGAGTGACCTCTTGTTCTGAGTTCTGAGTTCAAGCAGTTACAAAAGGCAAAGAAAAAACATTACTGTTGGTCACTGACAGATGAACTCCTTACTTGTCAATACAGCTTCATTGGTAAAGCAAGTAATACCAGAATTGCTAACGTCACTGAGAAACTTCTACATCAGCTTTGGCCCATGGTAACTAGGCCTTACTTCTAACTACTGCAGAAATGAGTAATACAAACACATGCAAAAGAACTAATTTCATTAATAGTCAATGGATTTTCATAAATTACTCCAGAATTGTAGAATACATTATTGAGAAAACAGGATGAAATAGTGAAAGAACAGTAATGAAAGAATACAGTGATACTTTGCATACTCAGATACTTTGCATCTGAGTTTTAAAATTAATATAAATCTTAAAGTATTAAGTCTCTCTGAAACTGTGACTAGGTAAACTGAGAGAATTATAGAAAATTCAACATCTTTCCTTATGTCCTTTGGTCCATTCTAACCTGAAATTCCGATTTGTCAGATCAATTTAAAAAGTTATTATAAAGTGATATATTCTGAACTTCATTCAGCGGGTTTACAAAGCCACTTGCATCTCTGACTGCTAGGATGCAGCAAGATGGGAGGAAATGTTATGCCGATTTTCAAGAAGGGTCAGAAAGAAGACCCTAGCAATTACAGGCCTGTCAGTCTCACGTCAGTGCCTGGTAAAATCATGGAGAAGATGGTTCTCGAACGTATTGAGGCACACCTGGGGGACAAAGCAGTCATTGGTCCCAGCCAGCATGGGTTTGTGAAGGGTAGGTCCTGCCTAACTAACCTGATTTCCTTTTATGATAAGATCACCCGTATGGTGGACCAAGGGAAACCAGCTGATGTGATTTTTTTGGACTTCAGCAAGGCTTTTGACACGGTTTCCCATAGGATCCTACTGGACAAAATGTCCACCATACAGCTAAATAAAAACATCATACGATGGGTGAGCAATTGGCTAATGGGCAGGGCCCAAAGGGTTATGGTGAATGGCGCTGCGTCAGGCTGGCGGGCGGTCACTAGTGGGGTCCCTCAAGGCTCCATTTTAGGGTCGGTACTTTTCAATATTTTTATAAATGATCTGGATGTAGGAATAGAAGGTATTTTGAGCAAGTTTGCTGATGACACCAAACTTGGAGGAGTTGTGGACTCGAATGAGGGTGGAAAGGCCTTGCAGAGGGATCTGGATAGGTTGGAGAGCTGGGCGATCACCAACTGCATGAAGTTCAATAAGAGCAAGTGCCAGGTCCTGCACCTGGGACGGGGAAACCCCGGCTGCACGTACAGACTGGGCGATGAGACGCTGGAGAGCAGCCTAGAAGAGAGGGATCTGGGGGTCATGGTAGACAGCAACTTGAATATGAGCCAGCAGTGTGCCCTGGCAGCCAGGAGGGCCAACCGTGTCCTGGGGTGCATCAAGCACGGCATCGCTAGTAGGTCGAGGGAGGTGATTGTCCCGCTCTACTCTGTGCTGGTGCGGCCTCACCTCGAGTACTGTGTGCAGTTCTGGGCACCACAGTATAAAAAGGACATGAAACTGTTGGAGAGTGTCCAGAGGAGGGCTACGAAGATGGTGAAAGGCCTGGAGGGGAAGACGTACGAGGAACGGCTAGGGGCACTGGGCCTGTTCAGCCTGGAGAAGAGGAGGCTGAGGGGAGACCTCATCGCAGTCTACAACTTCCTCGTAAGGGGGTGTCGAGAGGCAGGAGACCTTTTCTCCATTAACACCAGCGACAGGACCCGCGGGAACGGGGTTAAGCTGAGGCAGGGGAAGTTTAGGCTTGACATCAGGAGGGGGTTCTTCACAGAGAGAGTGGTTGCACACTGGAACAGGCTCCCCAGGGAAGTGGTCACTGCACCGAGCCTTACTGAATTTAAGAAGAGATTGGACTGTGCGCTTAGTCACATGGTCTGAACTTTTGGGTAGACCTGTGCGGTGTCAAGAGTTGGACTTGATGATCCTTAAGGGTCCCTTCCAACTCAGGATATTCTATGATTCTATGATTCTATGATTCTATGAAAGAATTATTTTTATCCTGTCATTTGTTCCCACCACTCTCCTTCTTCCTTCATCCTACTTCCTTCATCCATTCCTGATGAACTGAATCCATAGCTCCTCAGTCCTTTCTACTTTTTTTTAGTCCTGCCCATTATTAAACTTGAAAAGTTATGAAGATATAGCTCAAGAGTGAAATGATTCAACAGAAATTGTTGAATTGTTACATGAATTGGTATATTTAATTGTTATATATAATTGTTGAATTGTTCAGTGTTGTACTGAATCCATTAGTATTACCTGTCCAAGATGGTTGTCCCCCCTTTCTGAGCAAAATTTTCCTACAGTTCATTTGTCTTCAATAATATAAGTCCTGGTAAGGAGAGGAAAACAAAGAAAGATTGACATGGATTATAGACTTTTTTTTTTTTTTTTTGGATGACCAGTCTAGAAAAGCATCAGGTCTATCCTATCAGCATGCTCTTTACTTCTGTGGAAACATTTTTGGTCTCTTTTCACTGAAGTAGCTAGGAAACCCCACTTCTCAGCTTAAAATTCACACTGTGACCTCTCTTACAGCTGTTGTCCTGACATTTAACCACTTATTTTCATGATATAGTGGACTGGCATAATTTTCTGTCTGCCATTGTCCAGCAAATGGAGTCTCATTCTTTGGATCAGAAAAAAATAAAATAAAATAAAAAATCCATTTTGATCCACTGGAACTCTGCGAACTTAACTGATGTAACTGTTTTCCTTCTCTTTTGTACTGATACATGTAATCCACCACTCAGAACGGCACTTGTTATGCTGGTTATAGTGCCTATACAAGTGTCATGCTTCAGGATCACCTCTACTTTCCTTGTTGTGTGAAATCTTTAGAAACTCTAACAGTTTTTAAAGGGAGAGAAAGAAGGAAGTATAAAAGCTTTAATTTTCCTGACAGTTAAACAAACAAGATTAGTGTAGGTTGCTAAAATAGGGAAAGATACAGATTAGGTGGAGCAGTTTTCTTTTTTGTAAAAGGGCATTTGTCCCTAGATCAAATTTAGTTTCCAATATTTTAACCTGGCTTCACAACTTGCCTTTTAAGATTTATTTTTTTTCTTTTAAGTTTTATTGTTTTTCAGAAACAATGTAGGATTGAGCTGGGGGAGAAGAAATAATTGTAACAATTCAAACTGTATCTGGTGAAGCTGCTGTGTAAAGGAAATTAGGGACTGTGAAAAGATTAATTCCTGGCCCTCCACCAAGGGCTATGGTCTGTGCTGAAAGGGGGAATGAGTGATACACTCTGACAGAAGGAGCCTTGTCATGCACAGTAAAGGCAGAACATTTCAGTCTCCTTCAGTCCAAGCCCCAAAGGTACCACTGACAGAGTAAACCAGTGAGAGAGTTTGCATAAGATCCCAAAGTCACTGTACCCAAGTGTTGTTGTTAAGGATTCTTTACTGACATGTCCAGCACCCCAAAAGTCTAAAATGACACTGAAGTGAACAAAACTTAATGTAGAGAAGCTGTCATTCTGACAATAGTTGACTTTTTAATGATTTTGAAATGACAAGCCATAGTGGACCGTCTATAAAACAGCCATTATAACTTTAAGGTAATCCTAAAATGGTCAGATTCTGTTGCAAATAAGTAATTAATTTATTTTTAATATATTTAATCCTTTGCTCTAAGGAGCAATGTGCCTTGGAAGCACATTTCTTCATTTGATAGCCTTAATCTAAATCTTCTTTGTGATTAACTTCTGATTGCTTTTTTGGCCTCTATTTAGAAGGCCTAAAAGGCTTATCAACTTGTCTCAATATTTCCTGATCCATGCTTCTATTTTAGTACATGAAACAACTTCAGATACATTCATCTCAATAATTTTGAGATATGTGCTAAATTTTATATCTTTTTGAAGTCCTCTACAGAAATCTTCCCTTCCCCCACTGAGTCCAAAAGTGAAGTCTGATAAGAAGGGAACTGAACATTTCTGTGACACCCATTGGATTTGCACCCAATAATATCTGGTTGAAATCTATCTGTAATGTCACAAAATCAGCTGTAAACTTGCCCTCTCCATAATATTGGGAGCCTTTTTCTCTTTTCTCTTTCACCGAAGGATGCATATATATTTTCATGTTGTCTTTGCTGGTGGCCTTTATGGATGTACCCTTGATGTACAATTCTCTCGTAACGGATATAAGCTCACCACAGTCCCCTATTATGGATTCTGGGCTGATGCATGAACTAACTCACATTGTACAATGAAGGCTGGTTTGTAAGTGTCTAAGATTACCAGACAATATGGTATGCCCATATGAAACATCATGGTGTTTATGTGGAGAGATTTCTCAATAATGAGAGCAGAACTGTGTCAGCCCAGGATCATGCTGACTTAAGTGTCAGTCTAATGTTTTTACCATGTTTCACAGCTGCAACAAGGCTCATGTAGTTCATTTGTATCTACACTGTACTGTGTTTACATAGCCTTGTGATCTAAGAAGGTCTTGGGGAAAGCAGGTGACTCAACTAGATGACCTTACTCATAACCTCATTAGTGGGTGATTCTTCCCTTCTTCCATAGATCTGTTTCCAGCTTTCCCCAAATATGACAAACAAAACTCATGAAAGTTGAAAGAATCCCACTAAAGTCTGTGGGCTGTGGCTCAGCTCCAAAATGAAGAAATTTTGCCTTCAGTATTTTTGTTATACTATTCCTTATTAACAAATTGTTCCTATATTTTTTGTTTGTTTGCTTGTTCCTTTCTATCTCCCTTCTATGCATTTATTTGTTTTGTTTTCTCCCTATTGGTCCTCTACTGGCAGAGGCTGATTAGTGTGGTGTCGGATAGAATTCTCTAAATGGGTCTCTACATGAGAAACAATGCAGAGTTTTGAAGATCTTTGAGATGACATTGGCAGCTTCCTGACCCTAATCACCTACATGCAGATAGAGCAGTACTTGTTTCCTCAAAAAGTTGTTTGTACACAAATGTGTACAGACTAAGCAATCTATGTTTCCACATATGAAGAAATAACAGTGTTGAGTGCTTTAAGGAGGATGATTCGTCCTCTTGTTGTTTGATTTTGGCAGTCAAAAAGTCAGCTGTAATCTTGCTTAACTAAAGAGTTCAACAATTCTCATATTTACCAAGAACTTGTTTCCAGTCA